ACAACTACTGAAGCTGGTATGCCCTAGGACCTGTACTCTGCAACAAGAGAAGCCACCGCAATGAGAAGCCTGCACACTGCAACTAGAGAGCAGCCCCTGCTCGCAGCAACTAGAGAAAAGCCCTCACTGCAATAAAAAAGAGAGAGAGAGAGAGAGAGAGAAGCCGCAGCAGAAGGCTTAAAGCAAACAGGTCTCCCTGAGGCCCAAACAGACACCAGCCCAGGATCGACATAAAAAAGACGACTGGGGACGTAGAAGCCTGTCCATGAGCAGACCTCATCGAGGTTTCATGCATGAAGCCCTCCTGTCCAGGGGCAGGGCTGGATTTCGAGAGCACTTCACGGAAGGCAGCCAGCACCCCTCTATTCACAGAGCCCCCAGTCTGGGTCCAGGTCTGAAGGGGCTGAGAGCAGGCGCAGGGCAGCAGACAGCGCTAAGATGTGAGTTCTAGTCCTGTCTGGGCCACTGCCCGGCTCTGAGACTGGCTCTGCCCTGCCTGACTCTCAGCCAGGCTGCCTTCGGAGCTTGCTCTCCCATCTCGCCGGCGGGGACCACCACCGTCCTTCAGAAGAGCCGGCCGGCCTGGTGCGAGGATGCGATTGCAGCCCCCCATGGGTACAGGAGGCAGGAATAGCTGCCCCTGCCAGGAACTTGTCACCTTCCATCTAAACATCAGGTCAAGGTCCCTCCTAGCTCCACCTGCCCACAACTCTGCTCACTCAGCAAAGCATCACAAGACGGAGTTATGAGCTGATGGGCAGCACGCGGGCCTGTGGCCACGGCCCTGCCGACCACCATGACCACTGGCAGCCTCAGCGCACCTCCTGCCCCCACACCCCTGCCCCATGGGGACCCCGCAGCCTGGAACCACAAGGCCGCCCCGCCCACACCTCCTTCCCTCTCACCCCCGAGCACAGCGGTCACTCCCAGGAAGCAGAGCTGGCTCCAAGCTCCAGGCTGCAGTTTTAGCTCCAGAGGGCAGCCTGGCCAAGAAGAGGCGGCGGGGACAGGAGCGTCTGTTCCACCACCCAGCCCCTCCCTCTCCAGTTCCCGCAGGGTCTCAGGGTGAGGACAGTGAGCTGTCACATTCACCAGACTCAGGCTCTGGTGTAACCCCCACAATCCAGGACCTTGGGGGGAATTTACCTCTCCTCCCCCCGTGGAGCCAGCTGACCCACCAGGCCCCACAGCGCACCTGGAACAGGACTGACCACGTCTACAGGAGGTCAGGCCCGAGACAGACTAAACCCACGGGAACTTGCAGTTCTGTCCTGTGGGCTTTGCCGAGGACGCTGCCCTGCTGGACCACGGTGGGTCCACCTCACCCTGGAGAATCTGCAGGCACCCAGGAGCAAGAGGGGACCTGCAGTCTGCCTGGGATGGACGATGCGGCTGTGGCTCCTGGGGAACCTGGCCCAGCCCCACGGTGGCCACGGCCTTGCCTCCAGGTCTCAGACCAAAGGAGGTGGCCGGGCCCCTGACGTCAAGAAGAGGCAGGGCTGAGCATCTTCATTCATTCATTCATTCAGAACTAGCTTCTGTGCAGACAAGACATTGCTAAGAAGTCCCCGGGGTAGGCCAGTGGGGCCTCTGAGCCCGCCTGTCTCTGCAGACCGACCAGCCTGGCACACCTCCCCCTTAGCCCCAGCTCCACATTACCTGACCGAGCAGGAAGTTCCTCCACCTCCCACCTTGGCCGCAGGCATGTCTGCTCCCCTTCTGGGGGCCCAGCCAGCACCAGCATCCCAGGGGCTCCCCAGGAGTGGAGGTGCTCAGGCCCCACCCGGATCTGCTGAGGCAGAAGCTCTGGGGGTGAGGGGCATCTGCATTTTACACACAACCTGAGGGGGCTGGGGCAGGGCTCTGGAGCCCAGGTGGCACCCCCATCGAGGGGCTCGGTATCTCTGGGTGGGCTGCCTGGGTGTCCCCAGTGATGCCAGCCTGCATGACAGGCAGCGATGATGGGGGCCAGCCTGCAGACCCAGCGCTCAGGAGGAACCCCAGCTCCACATCTCAGCCGTGTGGCCTGGCCCCGGCCCCAGAAGCCAGGGTGGGTGCGGAGCACCCTGAAACAGAGGGAACAGGACCCCGTCTGAGACCCCGAGCTCCATGCCGCCCTCTTTCCCAGGAAGGCCCGTGCCCCTCCTCACAGCAGCCACCCCCCAGGAGGTCCCCGCACTGGGAGAGAGGACACACACCCCGAACCGTTTCTGGCTGGCTCGGCTCAGCGACTGGGCCCGAGGACGCGGCTCGCTGACGCCAGGCCGGCTCCTGGCTGTGACAGTGACCACAGCCCGCCCGGGGCCAGCCACTCCGTGGCCCCACGCGGCTGCCGCGGCCGCTTTCACGCTCCAGTGGAGGGCGGGCCTCGGGGCTCCCGGGCGTCCACTGGCTTCGCTCTCCAGGACAGCAGCCTCTGGCTTCTCTCTCTTTTTTTGAATCTAAGCCCATTGAGAAAACGCAGGCAAGTGCAGCTCCTGCAGCAGCTTGGAATGGAGGCTCGTCCTCAACATGTCTGGGGACCGAGGACACTGTCCCCTCCCACCTCTGACGGTGGCCCAGGGCACCATGAGGCCGCCAGACTGAGACCACATCAGGGTGTGCATTCACACCCACCTCCCCACAAGGCCAGGGTGCGAGGGGAGGGGCCGACCCGGTTCGGGGGTCACCTGGGAGGGTGGCCAGGCCCCACACTCGCTTAGGGCACTGCATGCTGCTCCATGCCATATGTCCACAAGGACCCAGCCCAGAGACGGTGAGTGCCCTCCCCAGGCTGCTCAGCAGCGGTGGGCCAGGCTGGGTGTTCAGCCAGCCAGCATGCGATACACAGAGCCACTCTCAGGCCTTTGTGCCAGGCAGGCAGCTGCATGGGGGTCCAGGTGGGGGTCCTCGGGGACCTGGCTCTGAGCTCCACCCACACCACCACCTCCATGTACTCCTTCTTAGAGACCAGCACCCCCCAGGTTCTGGGGGTGTGTCAGAAAACGGCCCTGCATCCCATGCCCCCAGTCCCAAGAGGCTCACCTGAGCGTCAGACTTTCAAATAAAGTCAGAACTTCCCTGGTGGTCCAGAGGCTAAGACTCCACACTTCCAATGCAGGGGGCCCGGGTTCAATCTCTGGTCAGGGAACTAGATCCCACATGCCGCAAGTAAGAGCTCGCACACCACAACTAAGGATCCCGCATACAGCAACAAAGATCGAAGATCCCGTGTACTACAACCAAGACCCGGCGTAGCCGAATAAATAAATATTAGCAAAAATAAAATAGCCAATTCTGGGGAATACTGTCCATGAAATCTTTGTGCTTTTGCCTCACAAGCCCCTAAATTTCTGACTACACTGTCCCCCTGCCCTGTAAAGTGCCTTGTGTCCACTGAGGTCAACAAGATGAAGAAACACAAAAGGTAAAAAATAGATGAACTATTTGAAATGAAAAGAAAAATGCCCAACACCAGCGGGGTCTCTGGGTGATGCATGAGACCCGCCCTCAGGCTGCTCCTTGCCTTTCATGTTCCATCATCCAGTTTGTCTATGTGGAGCAAGAGTTATATATTCATAAAGGAAAAAATAACTAGAGAACCAAATTTGATTGTAAAATACCAGAGGAGCAGTGATAAATGCTGCTCCTATTTATTGTGTGCCTGAATACTTCTGGGGGAACAGGCAGGGGTGAACAGAGCTGGACCCCAACATTCAGGCAGTAACTCCTTTTTCCCCTTGGCTTCTTGGAATGGGTTTCATTCCCCTCTAAGACCTTGGCTGTGAGCGGCAGATATCCTGCCAACAAACCACAGCCACCTTTTTTTGTTCTTTCAGTATGGATGGAAGGTCGCTGAGAACCAGAACCAAATGGGCTAAAGTTTTATTAGCAATGAGGCTGGGACGGCCTGAGCCATAACTGAGCTGGGTGTCTCCCTGGAATAATCCCAGGCCTACCCTGGCCAGGAGTTCAGAATTATCCAGAAAGACTCAGCGTCTGTCCTCCTGGACACGTCCTATACGGGCAGCCTGAGGCATCTAAAGTGCCCCAGACTCCTATCCCAGGCCCCACGACTCTCGGAGCTGACCTCAGGGCGCTGCCCTGACCCAGGAAGTAGACAGATGGCCAGAGGCTCTCGATACACTCAAGTTAGGATTGGTTCCCTGAGAACCCAGCAGCGTGGCCACCTGGGGGCTCTGGTTTTCAACCGAGTGGCTTCCTTCAACCTGTGGCTGGCGGTTCGTGCTGTCCACGGCCTCCCGCAGCAGCACGGGGCAGACCCAGGCTCACACACTTTCCTCTGAGCTTCCTGGGGGGACCCAGGGGCCCCTTCTACCCCAGCTCTGAAGTTCCCACCCCCGCACCAATACAAAGACACCTCAACAGCCAACACAGTGCCTGCCTATAGTCAATTCTGGGCCCCGCTTAGGGTCTGGAGGCTGCTGAATCCACACAGTGAGTCCCGTGTCCCGCTGAGAACAGCTGATGGCTGACAGCACCAAGTTGCAAGTGACTCCTTGGCCGGGGCCTACAGCCCGGCCCTGCTCACTTGATGCCATCTCCAGGGCCTGGAGACAACCTGGGCCTCGGGCTGGGGTGGCCAGGACAGCTGCCCCCTGCCTCCCACATCCCTGCAGCACCGGGCACTCCATGCCTGGCTGGGAATGTGGCCGTGGGGGCACACACCTTCCTCTCACCCAGCAGCTGTGCTATGCACCCTACCAAGAGAATGGCCAATATCATTCTCCATCAAACACCAGCATATAAAACAAGGAAGAGACAGGGAGGGAGGTTTGCTCTATTTGAGGGGAGGTTGTAAGACCTGGAGCCTCCTTAGACCAACCATCTCTTTGCTCCACCTCTGAGAACCTCTGAGGAACCCCAGGTTTCCCAGGGCATAGTTTGAGAAGCACCTGCGTAGGCCTCAAAGCAGACAGCACCATCAACCAGACCCGATCCGGAGACCCAGAACCTCCCCGCGGCCCCCCCACCCCCTATGCAGGCCCTCACCCTCCTACCTGGAGGCTGCGATCTCCGCCTTCTGCTTGGCGATGGTGGCCGCCCGCTCGGCCGCCTCCACGGCGCGGTCCACCTTCTCGCGGATCTTGCTGGCGCGCAGTGGGATGAGGTTCTTGCGCTTGCCGCTCACGAGGATGTTCTGCTTGTACTTGCCCTCCTCCTTGGTGCCGTCGGGGAAGGTCATGCAGCCGTAGCCGTGCCGCCGGTTGCCCGCCCACTCGCCCTCGTACTTGAGCCCGTCCGAGCGCTGGCTCACGCCGAAGCCCGAGCGCTTGTCGCTCTTCCACTCGCCCACGTAGGTCTCGGTGGTGGTGGCGTCGATGTCGTCCTCGATGGCCGACAGCTCGGCCTCGCCCTCGCCCAGGCTGATGGTGGAGTGGATGTCGCTGGCCGTGGAGCTGACCGAGCTCATGCCGGCCTCGCTACGGAAGGAGCTCTGCTTGCTGCGCTGGCTGGCCAGGCTGCTCTTGGACTCCGACTTGCGCAGCTTCAGCCCGCTCAGCAGCGAGCGCCGGAACAGCCCCTTCTTCTTGCTCTTGAGGATCTCAGAGTCGCTGTGCGCCACTAGCACGAAGCCCCCGCGGGACACGGCGGGGCTGCCGGCCACGGCGGGCGAGGCGTCGGGGTGAAGCGCCGCGCCGTTGCTGTGCTCGCTGCGCAGGGAGTTGATGGAGGTCCTCAGTGGCGAGCGGATGACCGCCGCCATGCCGTAGGGGACACTCTGCCGCACGCCGTAGCCCTGGCGCATGCCGCCGACCCACTGGCCCTGGTAGGTCCCTGCGGAGACAAGCGAGAGGGTGAGGCTCGCGGGCGGGAGGGGTGACGCGGCCGCCACGGTTCGCCCTGTCCTGGGGCAACCCGGCCAGGTTAACATCGAGGCAGACAGAGCGTCAGCCCCCGGTTGGTTTGACGGTTTCTATCACGGGTGGTCATTTTATTTATTATTTTTTTCTGGTGCTGGCTAAAGTATACCATTCTTTTCTTTTTTTTTTTAATTAATTTATTTTTATTAAAGGATAATTGCTTTACAGAATTTTGCTGTTTTCCATCAAAACTCAACATGAATCACCCATAGGTATACATACATCCCCTCTCCTTTGAACCTCCCTCCCATCTCCCTCCCCATCCTACCCCTCTAGGTTGATACACAGCCCCGTTTGAATTTCCTGAGCCATACAGCAATTTCCCCGATGGCTATCTATTTTACATATAGTAATGTAAGTGTCCATGTGACTCACGAGTGGTCATTTTTAAAGACCCTTCCCTCCTGTTTCTCGCAGCTGAATTCTGCTCCCTTAGGGCTCGGGGATGGGGAGAGAGGAGTAAGAGTCTGATGCAGCCAGGAGTGAACCGAAGAGCTCCTCAGGCACGTGGGCACAAGGAGGGTGTGGGACATCCTATGTGAGCGGCTCCACACTGGCCTCGTGGGGCCCACGAGTGACAGATGTAAGGACGCACAGCCAGGCTACCAACTGGGTACTGACGAGACTGTCTTGTAAGGTAGTGAGTTCTCCATTGCTGGAGGCATCCAAGAAGAGTTGGGAAGACCACCACACCTGAAGCCATGAGAACTGGCAGACCTGATGTCTCCAAAAGAATCCAAAGTGGAGACTCAGGCACTCATACCTGCACGAGCCCAGCAGCATTACTCACAAAAGCCAGAGAAAATGTGGTCCATCCAACAATGAAATATTGTTCATGCAGCCTTCAAGAGGAAGGCCATCCTGCCATTTGCTACAACATGGATGAACCCTGAGGACACCACGTTCGGTGAAATACATATGTCACAAAGGACATTCGCTATTTGATTCCTTTCACAGGAGATATCCAGGAGTCAAACCAGACAGCCTGCAAGTAGATGGCGGGGCTGGGGCTGGGGGCAGGGAATGGGCAATTATTGTTTAATGGGTACAGAGTTACTGTCTGGGGGGACAGAAGTCCTGAAAGCAGACAGAGGTGATGGCTGTGTGACACTGTAAGAGTGATTGATGCCACTGAACTGTGCACTTAGAAATGGTTCACGTGGCGAGTTTTATGTTTTCTATATATTTTACCACAATCAAGCTAAAACATCACAGCACTGGGCTCATATTCTTGCTCTGCTTATTGGCTGTGTGACTCTTAACAGGACGGGTCTCCATTTCTCATGCAGTAGGCAGTTATGCAAATTAAATGACACTCAGCACACAGCAGGGCGGGCTCCCCACCTTCTCCCGTCCTGCCACCCCCCCAATATCAACAGCTTTTCCTGCCTGGGGCCGCAGCTGCCCAGGCTGGGACTGAGAGCCGGGACTTGCACCCTGGGTTGTGAGAGGGACGCTGGACTAGCCTCTGGTCCTGGATGGCTCCTCCCTTCCTGGGTGGGTGGCTGTGGGAAGCTGGTCCTTTAAGGCCAGACCCTTCCGCCAGACAGCAGCCTTCCTCTGGCCAGTTCAAGCTGGGAGCCAGCTTCTGTTGCAGAGATCTCTCAGTCCTAGCCTCCTGCCACTTCCACTTGTGGGTTGGGTCAGATAAAACACAGGACCCCCAGTTAAATCTGAATTCCACATGGACAAGTAATTTTTAGAGAATGTTACATGGGACATACTTAAGCTAGAAATGATCAGGCTGATGATCTGAATTTCATTTATTTGCTGAATCCAGCCGCCCCCGCTGGGGTCTCCCATGATGTCACCCCGGGTTTCTCTGGCAGTCCCCCCACAAAGCTGAGGATGCCCTTGCATGAAGAGACTCCGCCCACCTCCCCACCAGCACCCCTGCCCCCCCTCAAGGCAGGCTGAGCACAGAGCTGAGAACACATGGGGGCTCCACACCTAGCCTTGTGGAGGTCGTGGGTGTGGGGGTAGAGGGAGGAGTTAGGAGGGGGGCAGACAGGGGATCGAGTCCCAGCTCCACTCTTTCTGCATGTGTGACCTTGGGAATATCTGCTTTAAGTCCCCATGCCTCAGTTTCCTCACCTGTAAAACAGGGAAGGTGGCTGTGTAGATTAAATGCGGCAATCTGCATAAAGTGCAGAAAAGTTTGTTAACGCTTGACAAATAGCAATTGTTGTTCATCATCGTCATCAAAACCTTAGGGATACGTGTAACTGAATCCCTTTACTGTGCACTTGAAACTATCACAACATTGTAAATCAACTCTACTCCAATATAAAACAAAAAGTTTGCAAAATGAAAGAAAATTTGGTTAAGGAAGAAAACCTTAGGGATAAACAGCACTTTACCTGGCAGGTGAGGAAACTGAGGCTCAGAGAGCGACAGGATTCAACCCCAGGGTTCGTGTCCTCCCCCTGCCAGGGCTCTGCACACAGATGAGGTCCTGCCCACCCTCGTCCAGAGGGCACCAGGCTGGAAGCCACACCTGGCATCCTGCGAGGTGCAGGCCACCTCCATCCCTGAGAAAATGAGTGCCCACACTCCCTCCCTCAGATAAAAGGGTGATAACAGCAGGGAGTCAGGAAGCGGGCCTCCTTGTGCCGATCTCAGAGTCTGCACAACGTCCCCGCAGGCTGGAGGGCATCGTTCCACCTTCCAGACGTGGACGTGGAATCTATTGCATACGCGGAGACGAAGGCAAGCAGCAGCTTGTTCTGAGCATCGGTGCAGGCGAAGCAAGGGTCTCAGGTGGGGATTCGAGTTTCCCTGACACTCTGAGCTCCTGGGTCCTGCTGTCCTGGCCTTCCACAAGCCACGCAGCCCTGCAGAGCTTAGTCTGTTTTCACATCAGGGAAAAAGCTGCTCAGCATACTATTCCTGAGTTCCGTGACTCCAGAGGTCCCTGGACAGGTGAGCCGAGGCTGGAGAGGGTCAGAGATGTGTGCAGAGGGTGGGCCTAGACAGGAGCGAACGCTAAGAAAAGGGCCCGCACAGCCAGCCTCCACTTTAAAATACACGGCCTCAAAGGACAGTCCAAAGAGATAGCAGGTTGGTGGTCGCCCGGGGCTGGGGGGGGGGCGGTGTGAGAATGACGGCCATCGGGGTTAGGGTTTCCTTTTGGGGTGATGAAGATGGTCTGTAATTAGATAGGCAGTAATAACCAGTAACAGAAAAATGAATGGAAGCACAGTGAGAAATGGGCTTCCCAGGTTGTGCTGGGGTAGAGAACCCTCCTGCCAATGCAAGAGATGTAAGCGACACTGGTTCTATCCCTGGGTCGGGAAGATCACCTGGAGGAGGACATGGCAACCCACTCCAGTATTCTTGCCTGGAGAATCTCATGGACAGAGGAGCCTGGCAGGCTACAGTCCACGGGGTCACCAAGAGTCAGACACAACTGAAGCAAATTCGCATGCACAGTGAGAAACATAAGACAGAAGATGAGCTGGTCATGTTCTAGGTGATTTGAGCAGAGTGAGGGCGTCGGGGCTTTGGAACAAATGCCTGTGGTTGCTGGGGCCCTGATGGGCCAACCTGGCCAGCAGTGCTGGAGCCTGGGGCGTGGGCACCAGGAGTCAGGAGCCCTGAGTTCAGAGCCAGGGCTTTCCACTTACCCAAGACCTGGGGCCCTCACTCCACCTCTCAGATATCCTAATTCACCTGTGACATGGGGGTGACGACCATAACCATCTGCTAGACACATGGAGCCATGGGTGTGGCCTCCTGCACACGGTGTGATGCGGGCAACTGAGCTTTCCTTGCTCAGGGCTTGCAGTTTTATTGTATTTGCACTTTTGTTCCCAGTCGGAACACATTTCTGAATTTACAGCTGACGTCAGTAAGAAAAATGGATTTCGATATTACAGAAATATACTCCTGATCAGCTCTGCTGTGACCTGCTGGGGTAGCTGGGCCCGGCTTCAGGGCTGGTCCAGATTAGGAGAAAGAAGACAGGCCTTCAGCCAGGAGCCAGTTTCTCCCAAAGTGGGGCTCTGGGCTGGCCCCCGCTGGGCCAGGTCCTTTCTTCTCTTCCCATCTCCTTTTCTTGTTTGGGGCCAGCAGAGGATGGCTTGAAATCAAACCCCTGGTTCCCCATGGCTGTTTCATTGAATCTGGTCGGTTATTTAAAAAGACTAAGTCCATCATTTTGTTTTATATCCCAAGCAGCTTGCATGTGGAAAGACAGAAGCCAGCCCAGTGCAGAGAGAAGACCACGTGTGGCCCCGGCAGGGGCGCCCTGACCCCCGCGGTGCTGCGGGGTCAGCCTGGGTGGTGCAGACCCCAGGGCAGGGCAACTTCCTGTCTGCACTTTGTACCCCAACCTCCTGGAGGAGGACATGGCAACCCACTCCAGTATTCTTGCCTGGAGAATCTCATGGACAGAGGAGCCTGGCAGGCTACAGTCCACGGGGTCACCAAGAGTCAGACACAACTGAAGCAAATTCGCATGCACAGTGAGAAACATAAGACAGAAGATGAGCTGGTCATGTTCTAGGTGATTTGAGCAGAGTGAGGGAGTCGGGGCTTTGGAACAAATGCCTGTGGTTGCTGGGGCCCTGATGGGCCAACCTGGCCAGCAGTGCTGGAGCCTGGGGCGTGGGCACCAGGAGTCAGGAGCCCTGAGTTCAGAGCCAGGGCTTTCCACTTACCCAAGACCTGGGGCCCTCACTCCACCTCTCAGATATCCTAATTCACCTGTGACATGGGGGTGACGACCATAACCATCTGCTAGACACATGGAGCCATGGGTGTGGCCTCCTGCACACGGTGTGATGCGGGCAACTGAGCTTTCCTTGCTCAGGGCTTGCAGTTTTATTGTATTTGCACTTTTGTTCCCAGTCGGAACACATTTCTGAATTTACAGCTGACGTCAGTAAGAAAAATGGATTTCGATATTACAGA